TGTATAATGTAAAAAGTTGTACAAACTGTAACAATATGTTCGAATAAACAGATCTGAGGCATGACCTTACCTTAACTTCAAAAAAAAAAAAAAAAATTAAATGATTATATTATTATTTATAGTTTTATTGCTAATTATAAGATGGCAAATAAATATTTAATTATTTAGAAATTTGAATTAAAACAACTTTATGTTTGATTATTTATTTTTAGCTCAAATTATAAAATAATATTTAAAACTTCAAATTTACCTATTTGTCTATCTACTTTAGTTGAATAACTTATATTTAAAAAAAAAATTATTTATAAGATTTATATAAGAATTTATTTAAAATTCATCAATAGTGAATTTTACTAGTAAATGTTTATGCATAATTAAATTAAACTAATTTTTATAAATCAAAAATAAACTTATTAATTATTATAGTTAAATTAATGTTAGGTTAGAATAAAGATGTTATTTATAGTAAAATTTTACAAAAAAATTTTTTTATTAGAGCATCAAAGGTAGTTTCATATATAAAATTTTAAGCTATTGATTATTTTTTAAAAGTTTTTTAGTTTTGTTATACAAAATTGTTTTACATATCACACCTGATCTTTAATTCTGATTGGCTAATGAAATTCACTACTAGTAAACATTAAACTTATCCTTCATATAATTTGTATTTAATAATTAACTAAAATGTTTTAAAATTTTCTTATATAAAATAAAATAATAATTATAATATTTATTTAACCTATTATATGTACACACATACTTTATATAAAAACTTATACTAAAACTATTAAGATAATGGTTTTATAGTTATGTGTATACTTGAAACTTCTAATTAGCAGCATTTATTTGATTTGGCTTAAAACTTGCATTGGTAAATAAAACTTGAAACCTTATACTATAAGCCCGATTGCTAGAATTATAAAATTTGTAAATACTGTATTATTACGAAAATAATAAGAATTTATCAAAATAATAAGTTTAATAAGTAAAAACATATACTAAAACTAATTCTGTAACACGAATTAATGAATAAATATGCATATCGATATGTTAATCTAACATTACACGATCGTAGTCACGTGACCATAAACTGGCACAGATTCTATTTTCGCTGCATTTACGCGTAAAAATGCAATTTCGAATTTTGGCCTAAATTAAACTTAATTCGGGCAACTTTTATGGCGTTATTACACAAAAATATTGTACATAAATAAAGATGTTTGTTTTATCGTTATTATATTGCAGTTTACTGTAATATATTTTAATAATCTTATAACATTTTATAATAATTGTTTTGTAATGACTATGTAATGGTTGTACAATGGTTTTGAATATTCAAATTAATTCAAATTCATACGTCCACGTACTCGTTTTGGTTTTGGTTCTTCTTCATCAGAAGAGGAATCAAAGGCAAAAACGTTGGCTATTTTGGATCGTGGACCTTCATTTGAATCAAAAACCTTTTTTCTTTTTGATTTAACTGCAACAACTTCAACATCGCTCTTTTCATCATCTAACTTATTCACAGTTTTCGCTTTAGCTTTTTGAGTTGGTTTTATTACTCTTTTTTTGCCTTTTTTTACACCACCAACTGACTCGTTCATATTTTCTTCGAATTCAGCCAAATCTTTCTGCAAAGATATCTTTTGATTAGTTTCACAATTTAAATTTGTGACTTCAAATAAACGTAATCAAACTTACATTCCATTGCTCTTCAAATGCCTTTAAATCGTCCTTCCAAAATTCTTTAGGAGGCTTTGCCTCAAGAATTTTTAACTCTTTTTCTTTTTCATTTTTCAATGAATTAATTCTCTCAGCCTGAAAGACAAATTTTCAAATGAAAACGTCAGCGGGTTAACTTTTATATAAATTTAACGTTACATTTATGATGTGGTTTACCTCCTCTTTACTGAAAGCCCATGCAGGTGTTGACATAAGATAGTTATAACCGCTATCATTTGAATCTTCTTCCGCCTCATCACTCGCCTCTTCTAAACCATATTTTACAACAGGTCTTTTATGAACTCTGTCAAAACTATTAGCTGCCAGTAATTCTATTATAGCTTTTTTCCTCAATCCTTCAAACTCGAGCTCATGTTTTATCTTCATGTTGATAAATCGCACTTTGTTTGATAACTTAAGGCACTCATGTCTTAATTCAGCTATCAAGTAATCTTTTCTCTTAGAATACATGTCTAACCTAACATGATAAAATTCTTGAAGAATATCTTCAGGAGTCTGGTACTTTTTCAAGCGGCCCTCTGGATCAAAACAAACCATATTCGAAGTAGGAATAGTGGAATTGATCTTAAACTTTTTCGCAAGTTCTTCGTCAGTAAGATCGGCAAGCTCTTCCTTTAGTGAAATATAAAAATCTACGGTATAAGCTTTATGTTCTTCGTCAAACTTATTTATAAATCCCATAAACTTGTCGATTAGATCTTTTTTATAATTCTGTGTCCAAGTTCGAACAGGCAATTCTGTAATCTTTATTTCTGTAGGAGAAATTCTTTCGATCACACCGTTATTCGTGTATTTGTCTTTATCCAATGGCTTAATAACACCCTTAAAACCACGATACCAGGGATGCATTGGTTCTTGTTCTTCGCCTTCCATCAGGCGAAGTATGTTTTTAACCAAATCCATAGGATTATAATTTGGAATGTAAGAACTCCACCCTGTTCCAATACCTTCTGATCCATTTACAAGAACCATTGGTATAGTTGGACAATACCATTCAGGCTCGATCCATTGACCATCATCATTAAGATATTTCAATAAATTATCATCTGCTCTATGGTATATTAGTCGTGTGATTGGTTGAAGTGCAGTATTAATGTAACGAGCACTTGCAGCATCTTTTCCACCCTGGGCCCTTGAACCAAATGTACCTCGTGGTTGCAACAAATTTATGTTGTTAGATCCAACAAAATCATAAGCCAGACCAATTATGGTAGATGTAAGACTTTGCTCTCCATGATGGTAAGCTGAATGCTCTGAGATGTATCCTGCCAATTGTGCGACTTTAACTTCTTTATTAAGGTTTCTCTTAAAACAACCATACATAACTTTACGCTGACCAGGTTTAAATCCATCAATTACTGAAGGTATTGAACGTGCGTTATCTGCCATACTGAATAATATTAACTCCTTGTTAATAAAATCAGTGATTGTGATTTCGTCAACATTATGATCCATATAAGTTCCAGGTTGAAAAGTCCGCAGCCATTCCTTACGAGCATCTGCTTTTTTTTTATTAAATGCCATATCTATTAGTGAACGTTCGTCTTGTTGAAGCTCGCGAAAAGGTTTCATATGAGTAGGCAAATCACTAAAGTATTCTTTCGCATCTCTAGCTTCACTAGTCCCCAATCCCTAATAAAAATATATATATATATATATATACGTATTTTAATCATTTTAATCCGTAATGAAATTACGTCTAATGATATATAAATATAATTACTTTGTAATACTTTATGGACCAGCCTTTTCCTTCATTATTTAATGATTTCCACTGCTCATATTCTGGAATTGTATAGAATGAAATTACCTCTTTTGTTCGATTATTAGTACACTTTGTATAAAAATAAATATAAATTAATTAATAATAAAGTTGGGTTTTTATCAATTATTAATTTATAATGGAACCTTCATACCTTGACAATAGGTGTAATAAATTCGCGTAAAAAATCCGGAATTTTCAATAAGGAAGGATAAAAGTGATCCAAAAGATTGATAATAAGTCCTTTAATATGACTTCCATCATAATCCTGATCAGTCATAATCATAAGATGGCCGTATCGTAAGTCTTTTGTTGATGTATACTGCTTATTATGTTGTAATCCAAGGATTTTCTTGATGTTTTGAATTTCTTCATTGCTCATTATTGACGAATGTGATGCATCACGAACGTTTAATAATTTTCCACGAAGTGGAAATACACCAAAATTCTTACGACCGACAACTGAAATTCCGGCAACGGCAAGAGACTTGGCTGAATCACCTTCTGTAAGGATTAAAGTACAGTTTTGTGCGTACTTGCCGCCAGCATGACCAGCGTCTTCCAATTTTTCGATAGAAAGGACATTGGACCTTTTTGCACCGTCTGTTTTCTTTAACTCTCTATCTTGTTTTTGTTTGACTTCTTCAATGATATTCGTTATAATTACAGACTTTAACACTTTATTTATGAAATTTTCACTAAGAGTACAAGACGAGCCAAATGATTTCTCTTTTAGACTCATATATTCCTTAGTTTGAGATGTGAAACTCGGGTTTTCAATTAAGCAGTTAATATATACTGATATATGATTTTTAACTTGGAATGGTTTTAATTTGGCATCTTTATGCTTCTTCTTAACAGTTTCTACAATTCTTGTAACCAGTTGATCAACAACATGGTTGACATGTGTACCACCTTTCATGGTAGCGATACTATTTACAAAGCTCACTTGCTGAAATTGACCCTCTTGACTTGGAGTAAAACCAACTTCCCAGCGTTCATTAACCTGCTCATGTATTATATCTGGCGATTTCGCAACTGAGTCTTCAGAAGGATTTGGAGCTGGTAAATATTTTTGAATATATTCCTTGAAATTTCGAACCTTAATTCGTTCATCATTCAAAAAGACTTTAACATTCTTAACACAACCAGCCATATCGAATACACGCTTTTTTAACAACGCAACAATATCATCAGTTAATTCAGTTAAACCAAACTTTGCAAGATCCGGATTAAAGGTTATCTCAGTATACTCTTCTTTCTTTGAATATGAAGTTACTTTTGGATTTTGTTTGACGCTCATGTTATCCTTGAATATTTGTTTGTACTTTTTTTTAGCATTTGTGTCAGTCGTCTCCACAATAAATTCAGTGCTAAAAATGTTTGTCAATTTAGCGCCATATCCATTACGACCTCCCGTAACCTTTTTTTCATTATCATCATAATTCGATGATGTCAAAAGGTGCCCGAAAATCAATTCAGGAACATAAACATTTTCTTCCTTATGTATCTCGATAGGAATTCCTTTACCATTGTTATATACTGATATGAGATTCTGTTCTTTGTCGATCTTAACTTTTATGGTATTCATTGAAGGATCACGAATCTATCATAAATAAATTAAAAAATTAATAAACTAATAAATATTTTACACATAAAATATAGATAAAATTCTTACCTTATTATCAGCTGCGTTAACCAATATTTCGTCAACAATCTTGTAAAGCCCAGGGACTATAGTCGCATCCTTGTACACCATAGAATCAGATTCAGAGTCGTAAACCCAAAGTTTTTCAGTTATAGCTTCAACAGACCCGATGTAAGTGTCTGGCCGTAATAAAACATGCTCAATTTGAGTTTTCTTTTGATATATTTCTTCGACGGTTTTTCCGCTATGTAAAGTGTCTGCTTTGCTTGAAGAAGCTTCTGGAGCGTCCGAAATATCGTTGTCAGAATCCTCATTATTCAATTGAATTTTCTTTGTTGCTTTTGCTTTCTTTATCGGTTGTTTCTTTGCCTTGGCCGTCGAATGAGAATCAGAAACATCGATATCAACAACTTCATTGTCCATTTGAGTTTTCTTTGTGGCTTTGGCCTTTTTTGTTGGCTGTTTCTTTCCTTTTGATGTAGACGGAGAATAATCGGAAATATCTTTATCAGAAGCCTCATCTTCTACTTGAGTTTTCTTTGCTGTTTTTGCCCTTTTTGCCGGCTGTTTCTTTTCCTTTGATATTGATGGAGCATAATCGCTACCAGAAATATCTTCAGAATTCTCGCTGTCTATTTCAATTATCTTAGTTGGTTTCGCTTTTCTTGCTGGCTGTCTCTTCGTCGTTGTTGTTGTTAAAGAAGAATATTCAGAGTAATCACTATCGGACATGTCAGACATAATGGTTGAATTATCGAAGTGAGAATTGAATTATCTTATTTTGTGTTGCTTGTGTTTATTTAGATTAACCTCGGGTCTGACGCGTTTCATAGACTAAATTTATGCCATATATACTTGTTTTGACGTGTTACCAACATTCAACATCACATGATCTTGTCACACCACTTTGTCCAAATAGGTCGCGTTTTGTACAAAACATTGCCTACGTATTAATCTTGTAATTCAGTAATTAATCAATAGGCAATAAGCATAATGGGTTTAATTGTTTTACAAAATTATATCACATGCAAATTGTTTAGAAATTCATTAATGGCATTAGGAAAAGATGTGGCATATTTCTGTTTATTTACTCCGAAGTATCATAAACACAAATAATACGTTATTTAATTTAATTAAATATTTAAATACATTATATACGTGATCAATTAAACTACGCATCAGCCATTTGACTATACCAATGTTGTTATTGTATATATTTATCTTTGTTTTAGACAATTATATGCGCATTTTAATTTTTCTCATTATACACTTTTAGTTTTAAACCACAAACAGCATAACCAAATTATCAAAACTAATTTATTATTTCATTATTTGAGTGTCGCTAAAAGAAAACCCGAAAATTTAAATATAACTTATATTTAAATTTTCGGGTTTCCTTTTAGCGACACTCATATATACTGTGTTTAAGCTATACCAATTTTTCAAAATTAATTTATATTTACTAATAATTTCATTATATATACTGTATTTAAGCCAATTTAAATTTAGAAGCAATAAAAAATGAACATGCGAGATGGTGATATCATTGTCGCATAGATTACAACCAGTGTTGGGCTGACCAGACCAGTTTGACCATTTGACCATTTGACCGGTCTGATCAAAGAATTTTTACTGGTCAAATAGCATTTTGAATATAATTTATTATATAATAAATATATTATATTTATATAAATA